CTTTACCTGTCCTGAACTCTGGGATCTATAAGCACAATGTAGTTTCCAATCAATCCCCAGAACTGTGGCCAGACTGTGACTTACCTTGGACACAAAAGCCAGTCCATTATCTGACCCTATCATCTGTGGAAAGCCATACCTGGGGAGGATGTCTTCCAACAATTTCTTTGCCACCATTTGGGCCGTTTCATGTTTAGTAGGGAAGGCTTTAGTCCATCCTGAAAAAGTACCTACAAAGACTAGCAAATAACAGTATCCGTACCTGCCAGGTTTTGCCTCAATGAAATCCATTTCCCAATAGGCTCCAGGTTTTCTCCCTTGAAGTCTGATTCCTGGGTTTCTAATATTTGGCATACATTAGTGAGTTGGTAAGCTTTACAGCCATTGACAATGTCTTTAATTTTTAAATCAGCGTTCTTGATTTTTACTTCGGCATGTCGAATTAAGTCCTGCATCCTCTTGAAGCCCATGTGGGAAGAACAGTGCATTTTTGCCAACATTTGTTTTCCTAATTTTTCTGGGAGGATCAGCTTCCCTTCTGCTGACTTCCACCATCCTTCCAGGCATTGGGTCCTTGGCAGTCCCTTTATCCATTTCAGGTCCTCCCTGGTGTATTTGGGCTTTTCGGGAAGGTTTGGGTCACCTGGGTCAATTAGTGTGGTGACCAAGATTGAGTCAATTTGGAGGGCAGCTTGTTTAGCCACCTGATCTGCTCAATTGTTTCCTTGGGAAATCGGATCGCCCCCTTTTTGATGACCTGGGTGGTGGATAATTGCCGATTTCTTTGGCAGCCAGAGAGCCCTCAGCAGTGTTAGGATTTCTTCTTTATTTTTGACAGTCTTTCCCTCTGCTGTTAATAAGCCCGGTTCCCAATATATTGTCCCATGAACGTGCATGGTGGCAAAGGCATATTGGCTGTCCGTATACACATTAAGCCTTTTGTCCTTTCCCAATACCAGCGCCTTAGGGCAATAAGTTCAGCCTTTTGGGCCGAAGTGCCAGTGGGCAGAGGCTCTGCCCAAATGATGCCAGTTAATGATACTACAGCCGCCTCTGCATACTTCTTGCCATCCTGTACAAAACTGCTCCCATCAGTAAACCAGGTTGCTTCAGCATCAGATAACGGGGTATCTCTCAAATCTGATCGGGTACCGTGGACATGGGCCAGGATTCTGGCACAGTGATGCAGGGGGCTGGCATCCAAGTCTAGGTCTGGCAAGAGCATGGCTGAATTCAGGGCAACTGGTACCTGGAAGGTGATTCTAGCAGGATTAAGAAGTAATGCCTGATAATGGGTTATATGGGTGTTACTTAGCCATCTGTCCAGGGGCTGTTTTAAAACTCCTTCAATTGCATGTGGTGTGGTGATGGTCAAGTTCTGGCCCAAAGTCAGTTTGTCAGCATCTTTTACCAGTAGTGCTTCTTTAAGTATATAGCCCAAGTATTGGACCTGTTGTTTGCATAGTTGGGCCTTTTTAGCAGAGGCCAGATTGCCCAGGCTTCCCAACGTCTGCAACAGGCATTCTGTGCCATCCATGAAAGCCTCTTGGCTGTCTGCCACCACAAGTAAGTCATCCACATCCTGCAAGAGATTCCTTTCCCCAATGCTATCTGTTTCAGATGCCTCTGCTGGTCCTCTGGATCTGCAGTGGCAGCCAGCAGGATCCTTGCCAGGTCCTGGTTCTGCCTTCTTTCTGCCTTTATCTGTTTTTTTTCTCTGCACTATCCCTATTGTTATACACTTTCTTGGCCACAGTTATTAAATCCCTTAAGCTCTTTTCACCCAGTCTCTCTACTCTTTGGAGCTTTTTCTTTATATCTGGAGCCAACTGGTTAACAAAAGCCATGGCCACTGCCACTATATTATCTTTGGCCTCTGGGTCTAATGGAGTGTACCTGTGGAAGGCATCCATTATTCACTCCAAGAACACAGCTGGGCTTTCATTTAGCTCTGACTAATATCGTATACCTTTGCCAAATTAGTTGGCCTACAAGCAGCCACTTTGAGACCTGCCAACAGAGCCCGGCGATAAACCAGAAGCCTCCCCTTACCTTCTGCAGTATTATCATCCCAATCAGGCTGGGCCAGTGGATAGGCAGCATCAATCGGCGTCAGGTCAGTAGTAGGGACACCAGTATTGCCAGGAATTAACTTCCTGGCTTCTGTTTGGATACGTTCCCTTTCCTCTGTGGTAAACAGGACCTGTATAATTGATGACAATCATCCCAAGTGGGTTGGTGTGTGAATAAGACAGTTTCTAATAAATTAATAAGCTCCTTAGGATTTTCAGAAAAGGGAGCATTCTGGGTTCTCCAGTTGTAAAGGTCACTAGTGGCGAATGGCCAATAGTGATGGGGCTGGTTGCTGGCCTCATCCGTGGGGCCGGCGACTCTGAGGGGTAAAACAGTAGAGTCTGGACCCTCCAGTGTTGCTGCCCTTCTACTCCTAGTCCCCTGAGCCAGTCCCCCTGTGCCTGTAAAGAATCTGGTACCAGGGGTGCCAGTACCAGAGGGGGTACCTCCTGTGGAGGAGGTGGATAAGGAGGAGGAGGAAAAATTAGATCTTCTTCTGTGCTGCCCTGTAAGACAGGGTACAGTGACAGTACTGATGGTTTGATTTCAGGCTTAGGTGCTTTCTGGGTTGTCATTTTCCATTCTGCAGCTGTCAGCACCTCAGTTTTCTGTAAAGGAAGAAAAGACTTGACCCAAGGAGGGGGGTTATTAACTAAATCTCCCCAGACCACTATGTATGATATTTGATCTGAGTGTCCTACATGTAGTTGAAGAATAATCTTCTCAACCATATTAATGACAGCGGGATCAAAGGTCCCCTCGGAGGGCCATCCCACATTGAAAGTGGGCCATTCAGACCTGCTGAAAGTAGTTAGTTTATCCTTCCTGACAAGACAACAGAGAGGTTATGGGCTCAAGTCTTAACCTCTCCAAAATGTGCAAGAACCAGGTCCAGGGGTGTAGAGGGAGTCTGTCCCATTGCATCCGTCTCAGTCACAGAGAAATAGACAACCAGAGACAAAACAGAGAGCCAGAAAGACACACAGAAGGCCAAGTAACAAATTCCCCCGCTCATGCAGAAGAAAAACTGAAAGTAGGACAGCGGCAAACTGCCGGGCTGCAGGAGTGACCCACCTTGTCCTTTCACAGAAATCAACAGAGTCTGGGGCCCTCCATCCCCTCTGCCGAGGTCTGGAACATCTTCCAGACCTCTGTGGTCATGGTCATCTACCGTGTCTGCTCCAACCGCTCCTGACCACACTGTTCACAAGTTTGCCTCGAGGCTCAGAACAAAAGCTAGGACAGACACAGACAGGTACAACTAGAAACAAACAGATGCTTACTGGCTGGCCAAGAACCCTCCAGTTCAGGGGTCCCAGGGTCGGGGGGGGTCCATAGGGATCCCAGACAAGCCCCCAAGATGTTGTACCCAGTTTGCAAGACCCCAAAGACCACCAAGGAGCCGACTGATGCAAATACACAAGGGTTCTTTTATTGTTGCAAATTTAAGCTTGGGTCCACTCTGTCACCGACTCAGTGTATCTCAGATGTGAGACCCCTTGCTTTGGGAGACAGAGGTATTTATAGGTTTATTTCAGCAAGTTCAGCAAGTGGGGAAGTAGGGGGTCTTCAGCCTGGCAAGCATGTGATTGGTTGCAGCTCAGTGCCAAACCATAAACTGCTGGCTTCAGGAAATCTGAAAAGATATCTGGACTTTCAGTACTTTTCTGTCCCTGGTTAATTGACTGTTTGCAGGGGAGTTGTTCTCTATCCATTCCAAGTATTGTGGTTTTTCTTGGAACAGGGCCCAGGGCTGGGTGCTGGTGCCAGCCGGCCAAGAAGGACAGTACCTGAAAGGGGGAGTGAGGATTGAAAGAAAAAACAAGAGACAGAAAAGATACTTGGGAGGACTGTCAGTAGAGACTGCAGCCCGGGTTTATTGCAGCTCCACCTTTTTATACAGAAGAACTCAATTAGTTTCAACAGCTGTTTTTCCCACCTGTATCTGAGGGTCAAGGAGCAGTCAAATACTTGTTTTGTTAGCTCCACCATATAAACACATTCCTCCTGATTTGGCAGATTAGGTACTGGTGTGCAAAACACAAACTCAGTAAACAAGCCTGCCACAGCTTATGTACATAATGGATTAATAGCTCCCAACAGATGGGTCAGTCCTATGGTGGTTTTATCCAAGATGGAGTCACTCAGGTCTCTCACACTGACTAGACTGGGTCCTTATAGGTCAGGAAGATAAGGAGTTAGGAAGGAGGTTGAAAAGTTTCCTTTTTGGTCTGAGATTGGCCTTTGCTAGGAGTGACCAAAGAATGGTAAGCAGTGAGTAAAGGAATGTCAGAGGATCCAGGGGATCATAACATCTGTCCTGGACAGCCATTATCAGGGGCCGGCAGGCAGGGGCTACAGGAATCTAGGGAAGCAAATTACTTTGGTCCTGGAATGCTGCTTACTGTGGTTTCCTGAAACTGCCAGGACTTTTTAAAATGGTGTGGCCATGGCTAACAGTTTCCAGAAGGAAGCTGAGAAACAACACCAAGTAGTAAGGACAGACAGAAACAGTGCCATAAAACATGGGCTGCAGTGAGGGTAGTGAGGGGGAGGGTACTTTCCACTCCTCCACTTGATGTCTCCACATTAGAGGATGAGAAGGAACCAGAAGGTGGATTCAGGTCCAGTGTCCCTCACCAGTTGTCACGTCACCCCAGTTGTCACGTCAATGGGCTATGCGGCACGTTTTTGATCTATAAACTCGGGAATCTGGAGTAAGCACTTCCAGGCAATCATGATGGTGGTGCTGCTGTAAAAAGGCCCTTTCTCCACATTCTTTTCTCTGTTTCATGTTGTTTTTATGAGACTATGTAGCCCTGGCTGACCTAGAACTCACTATGTAGACCAGGCTGGCCTCAAATTCACAGAGCCCCTCCTGCCTCCTTCTGAGTGCTGGGATTAAAGGTGTGTGCCACCACGCCCAGCTTGTCCACCTTCTTGAAGGATCCCACCGAAGCATTCGTCCCAGATGTCACTGCCTGCACCATCTGCTTCCTCTGGAGCCATTAAATACATGTCTTTAGATAAAGCTGCAGGTTCCACAATGGGCCGACTCGAAGGGAAAGTCATTGTCCTGACGGCTGCTGCTCAAGGGATTGGCCGGGCTTCTGCCCTAGTAAGTATCAATCTGCGGTTTTTTACCCACGCCTAAAGTACCACACGATATGTGCACACATACCACGGGGGTTTCAGAATTATTTACCGTGTTCCTTCCCTTTTCTTCTTTCCTTGCGTTTGTTTTCTCCCTTTTCCTTTCTTTCTTTTTTTTCTTTTTGGTACTTATCATTAAACCTAGAGCCCCAAACATGTTAAGCACGCACTCTTACCACCAAGCTGCAGTCCCAGACTTTCACTCTCTTTTTTTTACCTTTTATGCATCTGGGATCTTTGTGTGTGTGTGCGTGTGTGTGTGTGTGCATGCACTCATGCCTGTTGGGGGTGGGGAGGGGAGCACATGCCTCATGCTCAAGTATGGAGGTCAGGGAACAATTCTGTGGATTTTTCTCCTTCCTCCTTTACATGAATTCCAGGGACTGAACACAGGTCTCTAGGCATGCATGGCAAGTGTCTTATCCACTCAGCCATCTTGCTGGCCCACGTGTCTTAAGGTACAAAGAAATGTCCCTCTTCCTAGCACAGAGGAAGGAGGGAACCCCTTGTGCTTGTTTAGTGGCATCGCCGATCACTGTTGAGTCTGACAATCATACTTCTTTGCCTCAGTTTATCTGCACCCTCATGAACTGACTTCAGGGCCCTAGGGGGGTGTGCAGCTCTCTGAAATGATGTTAGTTCAGAATTAGGACTCCATTATAAAACTATCAGGCCACCTTGCTGATATGCCTCATTGTGCCCCACCTGAGCTAATAATGCACTGAAAAAGAAGGCTGGGTGTGGCCTGGCACGTGTGAAAGTCCTACTGAAGTCCTGGGAGGGAAGGTCCCATTTTCCTCTTACTATTGCTTAATCATTCTCAGAAACACACATGGGGGCGTAGAGCTGCTCAGAGGGTAGGCACTTGCCATGCAAGCCTAGAGACCTGAGTTTGATCCCTGGAAGGAGGGAGGACCACAGAGTTCTGCTCTGATCCCCACAGGCACGCCAGGCCATATGGGTGTCCACACACATACAGCATATATAAATAAATGTAAAAATGTCTGTAAAAGAAATGTCACATCATAGAGTAGCAACAGTGTCTTAGAAACGGAATTAGTTTTTAAAATACTACATTGTTTGATAATAAAAGGACAAAGTCAGATGATACGTATATATCGTGCTGGTCTAGTGACTGACAACAAATAAAAATAATCACAATGGGAACCAACAGGAGACTAGATAGATGGAAATTCTACCTATTTCATAGGAGAAACAATAATACCATGAAAGGAAAAAGACCCAGTGATCTCTGCTCCTGAGAGCAGTTTAATCCTGTAAACAAAGCATTGATTTGTACTTTGTTTCTGGCAGGCTTTTGCAAAAGAAGGTGCCAGAGTCATAGCCACAGATATCAATGAGTCCAAACTTCAGGAACTGGAAAAGTACCCAGGTGAGCAATGTGACTGTGGGGTTGGGAGTCAGAAGGTACCACTGGCGTGCTGGCCTTGTGGGAGAGTCTGGCTCTGATATATGTATATGTTGTGTGTCCTACAGACAGGTATCTGTGTACTAAATATGTGAGAGAAAACTGAAGGTGTATACTGAGATCTGTATCACACATGTTGAGAGATTGTTCCCACTTACAAAGTTCTGTGTGAAAATTAACAGCTGTCAGGTTAACTATTAATGACAGTATCTCACCTCTGCTCCCTCCTCCTCTAGGGTGGCATTGTCCAAAGAAACACGTGATACTCTTATATTCTTGAAAAATTTTTGTATTCTCATTAAATGGTAAAGTGTGGAAATTAATTTTTAAGTCATTGCCTTAAAAAGTGGAATCCACTGTGTGACATACAACTTAGAGATCTTATTGAGGGGGTTAAGGGTTCATCTTTAAGATTTGTGCTTTTTCTTTATTTTGTTTTTGGCTTTTTGAGACAGGGTCTCTCTGTAGCCCCAGCTGTCCTGGAACTCACTATGTAGACCAGGCTGGCCTCGAACTCACAAAGATCCGCCTGCCTCTGCCTCCCAAGTGCTGGGATTAAGGGCTTGCGCCACCATGCCCTAGAAGAGATTTAAATTTTTTTGTTTTGTGTTTGTCTGTGTGTGTGTGTGTGTGTGTGTGTGTGTGTGGGCATGTGTATGTGTGGGTGCCCACAGAGGCCAGAATGGGACATCAAATACATTGGAGCTGGAGTTACAGGCATTTGTGAGCCACCTGATGTGGGTGATGGGGTCTGAACTTTGGTCCTCTGAGAGACCAAAGAGCAAGGGCTCTTAACTGCTGAGCCATCTATCCAGCCCAAGATTTGTGTGTTTCCATGATACTCTTCAGATCATAAGGCCCCAGTGATGGCCATCAGTCCTTTGCAGCCTAAATGGAGACACTACACTCTTCACACTTCACACTACAAATCAGTCAGATCTTCAAGGCTATGCATTTTTAAAGTTATAGGTAAATAGTTTCTTTTATTTTATTCCTCAGGTATCCAGACTCGTGTCCTTGATGTCACAAAGAAAAAGCAAATTGATCAGTTTGCCTCAGAAGTTGAGAGAATTGATGTTCTCTTTAACGTTGCTGGGTAATTTTAAACTATTTCACTCTGAGAAAGTTTCCTATGACCTTATTAAATGAATACTGACAATATGTAGAAATTATTGATTGTTAGACATAGCATATTTGTTGAAAAGTCTAGCTGTATTTCAAACAGCATTTTCACTACATGTAACATTCATGAGGTAACACAGTCATAGCTTTAGATATGAACTTGGGGCCTAGAGGCAGTTAAAGCTTTGGAAGACAGTGGGTCCTGAAGTGGAGTTGTACCATAGGTACAATGGTAAGAGATTAAATAAAGTAGTAGTTTTTCATCTTCTATTTTATAAATAATCTATTTGCCTTTTTATAAGAACATTTCTAGAGAAACAACAAAACAGCCTGCTTTTTGAGCAGTTCTTAGCAGTGGAGGGGATAGAGAGAGTATGTGTGGCTGTCACTGCAGGAAACTAACAGACTGACTAAACTAGAAGTCGTAGTGCATGAGAACCACATCCAACAACATCTTATCATCAACTGTATAAATTTGGTCCAGAGGACCAAGTCAATGAGGATGCCAGTGTTCAAGAAACTCCCTTGAGAAAAAGGAGCTTGAAAAGGGAAAAGTTCTTTTCGGGATTTTGTTTGTTCGTGCACTATCCTAGAAGCTTACAGCTGCAGTATTACATTGCTACCCTGAAATATCAAGACATTTGTTTTTCTTCCAATTTTAGTGCCCTTGTAGAATTCCAGTGTCTGCCACCTGAGGGCACTGTTGCCTTGAAGCAGAAGTCAAATGACGCAGGTGTCCTGTCTTGTTCATTTCTGATGTGTTTTTAAAGGCACTGACGTTTCTAAGTATATTTGGTCTAGAGCTTCTTATGTTTGGCAATCTCAGACTCCTGTCTTCTTCTTTTTAAAGAATGTTTTCCTTTTCATTTTTTAAAAAACATTTATTTGAGTGGTGGGGAGGGCATGCATGAGCACTGTGGCATATGTGTGGAGGTCAGAGGACAGCTTGCAAGAGTTAGCTCTCTCCTTGTGCCATGTGGGCTCCCGAGGTTCCAACTCAGGTTGTTCATTTTGGCAGCAAGTGCCTGTACCCGCCGAGCCACCTCCACAGCCTTCTTTTTTTTTTTTTCTTTTAACGTTGGCAACCATTCCCAATTTTTAAAAAGAAACTACATTTCTTTATATGCATGCATACTAGTGCTTATGTGAAAGTCAGAGGACAACCTAGGTGGAGTTGCTTCTCTCCTTCTACCACATGGATCCCAGGAATTAGAACTCAAGTCATCAGGATTGGCAACAAGTGCTTTTACCCACTGGGCCATCTGGCCACCAAAAAGGCATGTTTTCATATAACAAATGTTCTATCCTAAGATGTTGGCATTCTTACTAACATAATGTGCTAAATGATTCTGTATTTGAATGTTTATAGCCTTGATAAGGGAAAGAGACAATGGTCTAAGTTAACAAGTGACAGTAGGAATTATCACCTCAATTAGAAAAGTTTTGAATTGTGTGTGTATGTGCGTGTGTGTGTGGTGTTCTTACAGAACTAGGGCTCAAACCCAGAGACTGAAACATGCTAGCAAATGCTTTACCACTGAGCTATCCCAGGCCTTTAATCATGGATGTCCCTCCCCACCCCCACTCCTACCCTTGTCCACCATGGAACCATCCTGGATTGTGAGGAAAAGGACTGGGACTTCTCGATGAATCTCAACGTCCGCAGCATGTACCTGATGATCAAGGCATTCCTTCCCAAAGTAAGAGGGCCGCCAGGATGTGCAGATATCAAGTCTCACACTGGGCACTCAGCAAGGCCATGCCGTGCTTGAGTGTGATGGGCGCCAGCAGGGGACTAATGTGCATTGAGCATTTATGTCAGGGTAGTTTATATGAATTAATTCCTTTAGCCTTCCGGTTCTTACATTCAAAGAATATTTACCAATCACTTTTTACTGGCAGGCTCTATTCTAGGCCTCCAATGAACTTAATAAGGTTCTTTCTTTCAGGGAGTTCCCATTATGGAGGGGTGAGAAATGCTAACAAATAACTATCAGCTGAGGTGGTTATAAGTACCATGAAGACCATAGAGCTAGAATACTAGTGAGGCCCTCTTGAACCTCACTGACAAATTTAAGTTCTCAGAGAGAGTCACATGAAGGGGGGGAGGGAGTGTCTGGGGAATGGACTTCAGGCAGAGGAACCAACAAGGCATGCAGCAGGGGTCAGTTCCATCAGGTAGGTGCTGGCTTATCTTATCCACAGACCATGCAGAGGGTCAAAAGCCAAAAAGTAGATAACTTGCCCAGGGTCACACAACTGTAAGTAATCAGAGCTCACATACAAAGCTGGTAGCTCACCCTTCCTGAATTCCAGTTCTGGGCACTGTCAAGATGCATGTGCTCCAAAGCCTTTCTCTACCTCGAAGCATCTTGTTCAGGTCCTGTTTTTATCTGACTCACAAAGAGACTGGAGAGCTGAGATGCAGAGAGCCTGTGATTTCACTCCCTTCTTGAACTCTCCAAACTTTGCCCACCTCAGTATTTCTTTTCTTTCTTTTATTTTCTTTTTTCCTTTCTTTCTTCCTTCCTCCCTTTCTTTTTTTTTCTTTCAAGATAGGGTCTCACTACACAGCCCTGGCTGGCCTGGAACTCACTATGTAGACCAAGCTGTCCTTGAATGTACAAAAATCCACCTGCCTGTGCTCCTGAGTGCTGTGATTAAAAGCATAGGTTCCTTCTACATTTCACTTTTCAAACAAGCACCTTTTTGTATGAAGCACTCTTTCAGGTGCTCTGGGAGGGTGCTAAGGTGGGAGGCATACAGCCCTGAGCTGGAGGGAGACTCTAACCCAACATAAAAGGGACTGACTAAAGACAGACGCAGCTCAGCTCCAGGCTATAATGAAGGTGGGCTTTTTTTTTTTTTTATGTTTTAAGCACTAAACATGCTTTAAACGGATCTTTGATAAGTTCACCAAAACACTGAAATAACTATCCCTTTGAAATACGTTATGGGGCTGGAGAGATGGCTCAGAGGTCAAGAACACATTCCCAGTATCTACAGTGGGCAAGTCACAACTACCTGTAACTGCAGTTCTAAAGGATCTGACACCCTCTTCTGGCCCCTGTGGACACACACACATATGGCATACATTCACATAGATGCAGACATATAAATAAAAATAAAAATGATTTAAAATAAATAAAAATATTGCCTTCTTACCTGTTTAGAGTTTATAGGACGTATGTTGTTTGGGGCTTACTTAGTATAGGATTTGTGGGATGACAGAGTCATGTTGAGAGGGGTGAGCTAGGTCACAGAGGCAAGCCTGTGGCACACACATGTATACAACTCATTTGCAAACCCACTCTTCTGCAGGTCTGAAGTGCTTCACACACAGAGGTTAGGGGAGTAGGTATGAAATACAGTGAACTTGTAAGGAAATACTAGCTTTTCAAATAAATACACCAGTGCCAGGTCATAAGTTTATGGCTTTGTCTATGATTTAAAGCATCCTAACAATGATAAAAAACACATTTATGTTTTTAGAAAAAGATATCAGTGACTGGGACGTAGAATCAGAAAAATTAAGCACCGTTTTTTAAGAGTGACTCTGGGCCAGGAGCAGCGGCACACACTTGGGAGGTGAGGCAGGAGGATCATGAGTTTGAAGCCAGACTGGGCCACGTAGCAAGACCCAATCTGTTTTTTTTTTTGTTTATTTTTCTTTGAGACAGGGTCTTCCTCTAGCCCCAACTGGCCTAAAACTCACTCTGTAGGTCAGGCTGACCTCAATCTCACAGAGATCTGCCTCCTAAGTACTAGGAGCAAAGGAGTACATCAATATGCCTGGCTGCAAGACCCAGTCTTAGGGGAAAATATGACCCTGACCCTTGGCTCCTGGTCTTGGACACTGGCATCTGAGTCTCACAACACGCTGGGTTCCTGGGCCTCACGGCCTAGGAGATGGCATCTACAGCCTCTGTCTCTCCCATCTGAGAATGAGGATGACAGATTCCATACCACTTCCAGCCCTAATTGTCCAGGATTTTTTTGTATTATTAACTGTGACACATAATTATCAGGTTGGAATTTTTTCAGGGGAAGCCAGGATGTGAAACCCACACAGATCTCAAAAATCATTTGATCAGAACATTGGAATAGTTGCAGAAAAATTCTCTTCCCAGAAAACCATTCCTAGATTGCAAGATTAGTCGAGAGACAGAGACCACTTTGTTTTCTTTTCTTTATTATTTTTATTTTATGTGTATGACTGTTTTGCCTGCATGTATGTATATAAGTGCACCCATGTCATGCAATGCCAGCAGAGGTTAAAAGAGGACATCAGATTCCCCCCTGGAACTGGTGTTACAGATGATTGTTAGCCACCATACTGGTGCTGGGAACCGAATTTGTGTCCTTTACAAGAGCAGCCAGTGCTCTTAACCACTGGGCCATCTCTTCAGCCTCCAAAGACCACTTGGAAACAGTATAAGAAGAAAGAATTGCAGAATCCAAGGTCCACTAGAATTGAAGATCCTTAGGGTAAAGATCTGGGGATGTCTTTGTCCTTTGGGTTGCTTTTGGTTTTCTCCTTGCTGTATCTTGAGAGAGTCACTGGCACATAGAGGAATTCAACCAGAACTGGCCGAATGAACAAATGAATCAAACTTGTCAGTCCAGAGGGAGGCTTATTTTGAACATGGTGACTTAAGTGGCCAAGATCTGCCAAGGATAGAAGCTACACTCTAGCCACTGGGGGCGGAAGGGCTGAGTATGAGACTAATTAGATTCAGCTAGAGGGACCCTTCATGAGTTTTTTGTTTAGTTAGTCAGTTAGGTTTTTTTTTTTTTTTTTTTCAGTTTCACTTGAATTTCCTGGGGATAATTGCATACTAGACAGGTCACTCCACAGTCTACCTGCCAGAAAGTGCTGTTTCCTCTCGGCACCATGACGACGGGCACTGAGCTGGTTCAAATTCCGCTAGAGGGACCCTTTATGTGTTTTTTTTTTAGTTATTCAGTTTGTTTTTTTTTTTTTTTTTTCAGTTTCCACTTGAATTTCCTGGGGATAATTGCATACTAGACAGGTCACTCCACAGTCTACCTGCCAGAAAGTGCTGTTTCCTCTCGGCACCATGACGACGGGCACTGAGCTGGTTCTGGAAAGGGGAGACAGCCTAGAAGGAGGCAAGGAACTCAAAGCAGAGGAATCAATGGGTAGAACAAGTGTTAGGGGTGTGAACTGCATCTCCAAGGTGACTGAGTTCTACAGTTTCCCCAGGGCATTACTGCGTTCAGAATACTGGAGACTGGGCCTAGTCATGGCTGGCCTTTGAAGGCTTGGTTTTCACCATCACTGTATATTACCAACATTCCTGATCTTTTTATGAGGACCCTATATGATTATGGTTTGTTTTTGCTTTTAAGACAGGGTCTCATATAGCCCTGGCTGGCCTGGAACTCGCTATGTAGACCAGGCTGGTCTTGAACACACAGAAATTTGTTTGCCTCTGCCTTTAAGTGCTGAAATTAAAGGTGTGCACCATCACACCCAGCTTTATGATCGCTTTTATCATGTCAAAACACATTGCTGTAAAGCTTGCTCTCCCAGCTGTGTTCGTTGACATGGTGGGATCCCACAGCCTTTCCTTGTGTCCTGTTAGTCCACACAGCCCAGTGCCTTGTGTTGCTTTATACTCTTTGATCTTGGGTACAATTGACCATGAGAATTAAAATGAAAAGTAATGAAAATACCACATGTATCATCTTGGCCACCCCAGGCTGGGTCCATCGGTCACAAAACTTCCTTATGTCTCCTTCTCTGACAATCAGTGATGAAACCCACCCAGCAGGAGAGATTTTCTTCCCTAAGTCCTCTACAGTGACTGTGGAGATCAGTTCCTGGTAGAAACCATCTTGATTTTCACAATGGCACAAACGTGCTGGGTATTCTGTTCTCTAGTTTGTGTTCTGTCCCCAGCAGTTGTTTGAACTCTTTCTGATCTCCTGTACGTTCCTGTCTTTGCTTTTTTTTTGCTGTTGTTGTTCTAGTTTGGTCTCTGTTATTATTAAGATAAACATCATGACCAAAAGCAACTTGGGAAGGAAAGAGTTTATGTCGATTACACCTTACAGTCCATCAAGGAGGAAGCCAGGGCAGGAGCTCAACCAGGAGCCTGGAGGTGGGAACTGAAGCAGAGACCTTGGAGGAATGCTGCTTACTGGCTTGCTCTTGCTGGCTTCTGCTCAGCCTGCATGCTAATAGCCCAGGGCCATCTGCTCAGGGATGGCATCAGAGCCAGTGGGCTGAGTCCTCCTACATCGATTAGCAATTAAGAAAATGCCTCACAGACATGCCCACAGGCCAATCTAATGGTGACAATTCTTCCACTGAGGGTCCCTCTTCCCAAGTGTCTCTAGTTTGTGTAGTTGACAAAAACCAACCAGCATAGCCCTCTCCGTGGCCATCTGCCTCACTCCTGACTTCACTGAGAAACTGGTACCCCACAGCCAAGTCCTCTCAACTCCCTCCTTCTCTCTTAAGAACATCCATGGGCACCCATGCCTTTGGCCTGTCTGATCTTAAAATATTCATTTAAGTTTTGGCCTGTAAAATACAAATTAATTTTAAACCACGTTTAAATTCCTAACAGCTTTGTTCACTGTGCATTGCTGTGGCTCTAGGACATCTGCATTTCAAACTCTCACCTAGGATATTCTGATTCACCAAGTGTGTTGACTGCCTATGGCGTGTCCTATCTAGGAGCCAAAGACCCTGCCCTTGATGTCACATTTTAGTGAAGAAAGGAATGCTGAAAGGTGTTCTGAGGAATCACTGTCCTACCCAGGAAGCACTCCCTGCCACTGCAGCCATACCTGGCCAGGCACTGCCCACCCACCTGAGCCCCCATGCCTTGTCTCCTGGACACTTCTGCAGCTCTGATTTTCCCATGTGCTCCTAGATCTCTGCTTCTGCTTCCACTGGTTTCTGCATGGTACTAGACAAGTCTTTGTTGTCCCCTTGTCTGAATGTGCCACTGTTCTTCTTCACGGCCTTCGGTGTTATCACATTGCCTTCATCTTCAAACCCAAGCTCTGCACTGCAGCCCAGCTTCCTCTCCCCACAGCGCCATTCTTCCCATGGCCTACATTCCAGCCAGATGCTTTCCTTCCTTCAGACCCGCCCTAGAGACTTTATACATGCGGTACCTTCTCCTTGAAGGAGATCCCTCTGATGTCCCCAGGCCTGGAGGGTCCCTTCCCACTCCGCCCTCCCCTTAGCTCTCTGCAGGTCTCCTCTACCACTGAATGCTAGTTATGTCTGACTCTCTAATCAGACTGGCTGCCCACTGTAGGCACAGATTGTCCCATTTGTCTGTCAACCTCTTGAATCTTGCCCAGTACTTGAGCTTAGTAGCTATTGAAGAAATATGTGTTGAGTAGAGTATGAGGAATGACTGACATTCATTCATGTTCTTTGTAGCTCAGAGTTCAGTCTTGCTCTTGCTGTTGTTATGTACCCACAGGGAAGTGGTAGTACATCTCAGAAATGCCAGTGAGTGTTTATACATGCCACTAACTTCCTGCAGTACATGGGAATAGAGTTGTGTTTTCACTCATAAGACTGTTTCTTAAAGATCAGTGTTAATAGCTAATAAGGTGATCAAATTGAGCCCAACGTGGTAGCACATGCCTGTAATTCCAGCACTTGTGAGGCTGAGATGCAAGGATCTTGAGTTCCAGACGTATCAAGGCTACAGTGTAAGAACCCATCTCAAAAAAAGGAGGAGAAGCTGGGCGTGGTGGCGCACACCTTTAATCCCAGCACTGGGGAGGCAGAGGCAGGTGGATCTCTGTGAGTTCAAGGCCAGCCTGGTCTACATAGTGAGTTCTGGGACAGCTGGGGCTACAGGGAGACCCTGTCTAAAAAAGACAAAAAAATAAAATAAAATAGAAAATAAAGTAGCATGTTGGGGGACCCTGCTGCTAAGGCTGCAGTGCACCATGTCCGGATAGCTCTAAGGAGCTCGGTGCTAAATGGAGGACTCCCTTTCTCAGCAGGGGCTTCCTGCTCTCTGCCTGACCTTATCTGGAAAGTGCCTCCAAGCACAGATGCCTGGCCTTATTTGGAACATGACCTTTCCAAAAGTCTGGTCCTTGGGTTAGGGACTCCCAGGACAAAGCCAAGGTATCCAGCATCACGTAGCATATCCACCAGAAAAAAGAAAGCTCCTGAGACCCCAGGCCTTTGTTACCATCAGAGGAAGCGAAAACCCAAACCACCAAAAAAACCATAAGCAAATGCAGGTGTTTCAGCCTGAAAAATGGAGATTTTTGACTTACTCATTTTTGCCTTGGCAGATGCTTGCTCAGAAATCTGGTAACATTATCAATATGTCCTCTGTGGCCTCCAGCATCAAAGGTAATAGTCCCTTCCTCTGGGGTTTGTGAGTTCACACACACACACACACACACACACACACACACACACACTTTCATGGGCTGTGGGTTTTAGAACGAAGCAGAGAAACTTTTTTAAACTCCTATGTAACTTTAGAATTCCTTTTTTATCACTGAAGTAATCCAAAATGATATATAGAGCACCAGGCCCTTCACGTACAATAAAAGAATTCACAGTTCGAAAAGCGACAAATTCTGTCTTCTTTTGTTTCTTAGAAAGAGGTTCTCATGGAGCCCAGACTGACCTCCAATGTACTTAGCCAAGGCTGGCCTTGAATTCCTAATTCCCTTGCCTCCACTTCTGAAGTGCTGGGGTACAGGTTTGTACCACCAGGCTTAGCTTCAAATCCTGTCTTCCATAATGTAACAGATTTGCACTAAGGGTCATCACATATACAAGAGATCACTATGCTTGTGAGTGTCAGGTCACAGCACAGGGAGAGGTCTGGGACTTGACTGAGAAGTCAAGCTAAAGGCCTAGGAACAAATGGAGAGACGTCACAGCCTGACTTTGATAGATTCATGAGTTTAAATAAAATCACCGCAGAGACAGCATTGCTTCACTGATACGTATATGAAATAAGCATAGGAGAGGAATGTAAAGGAGGCGGCTTCCAGTTTCTTTGCTTACGCAGAGTCTAAACAGGAATGACCTTTTCCTAACTGCTGTATCGATAGTGACGAGCAGATGACCACTACCAAATGAATGCTGCATCTCAACACCAAAGTTGAAACTAAGTTGTGCTTATACTGACATCATTTCCCTGGGCCCGGAAACTGTCCCTGTTACAGGAGACCAGATGTCAGTCATTCTTTAAAGGAACAGCAGGATGGGAAGAAGAGAAATCACAAGCAAAGAAACCAGCTTGTGTTCTGTTCTAATTCTTTCTTCTTGGCCTTTACCCCCAGGAGTGGAAAACAGATGCGTGTACAGTGCAACCAAGGCAGCCGTGATCGGCCTCACAAAGTCTGTGGCTGCAGACTTCATCCAGCAGGGCATCAGGTGCAACTGTGTGTGCCCAGGTGAGTCAGGCATGACAGGGCTGTGAATTTGACCTTTCACTCCCATTCACCTCTGTGAGCAATGTCTTCATCATCTGGTTTACCACACTCTCACCTGACTGGCTTATGCATCAGCTGTGGATGTTTTTCTGCTACAAAGGCAGAGTTGAGAGGTTGCACAGCTCACAAAGAGACAAAAATAATTGCTACTTTTATGAAAAACATGTGATTACCCCACCTGTGAAGGTGTAAAGTGCAACAAAACTGCTGTTTTTGAGACATGGTCTCACGATGCAGTCCTGGCTGGCCTAGAATGGCCTAACTGCTTTTTCTCAATAATTCTGGGCGTATCTCAGATTCTAGGTCACTGCAGGTACCCTTCTACCTCATTCCCCTAACTCAAAATAAATACATGTGCCTAACAAGGACAATTAATGTCCTCTGAAGAGAAGTGTTCTATTTCCAGGATTAAAGTTTTCAATAGCCTGCAGCCATTGTTGGGGTGGTTAACCTGCTGGACATGCCAGATTTGGGGAATGGACTGCTGGGAGATTCTGCCTGAGTCTCAGGTAGAACACACTGACACACAGAAAGAACTGCTGCAAACCCAAGCCTGAACTGCAGTGACTGAGATGTTCTGCACTCTTGCTTGGAGTGGAATGATAGCCATAGATAATACTGGAACAGAAGAGCCTCCTGGTCACACGAGTGTGGCTGATCTTTGTGGCACTTGGCCATTCGGAATGAACAGCCAGTGACTTTGAAAGAGTGGTTGCCTCCACAGCTGCATTTATTATATGATATGAAAATCTGTTACCTAACTCTCTGGAACAAAGAGCTAGCTGTGATTCACGGAGCCCATCCCAGAAAAAAAGTAAGGAAGAATAGTGTGTCTGTGACGGTGCTGATGGCTGTGAATCACCGTATCCAACCAGGCCTGTGTGAATGTGGTACAGCAGAAGCCAGTTGTGGCGTTACTCTCCCAACATCACAGTTACTTGACCAAAGAAGCCAGACTCTTAAATTTAATTTTTGTGTGGTCACGCCTTTAATCCCAGCATTCGGGAGGCAGAGGCAGGTGGATCTCTGTGAGTTCAAGGCCAGCCTGGTCTACATACTGAGTTCCAGGTCAGCTGGGGCTACAGAGAGGTCCTGTCTCAAAAAGACCAGAACAAAAACAAAAACAAAAGATCATTCACCATGATCAAGTAGGCTTTATTCCAAAGATGCAGGAATGGTTCAATAAACGCAAGACAATAAATGTCATTAATCATATAAATGGACTTAAAGACAAAAAACCATATTGTCATCTCAATAGATGCAGAAAAGGCTTTTGACAAATTCAGCATGCATTCATGATAAAAGTTCTAAAGGGAAATGGACTGGAGGGAACACACCTCAACATAATTAAAGCTATATACAACCCACAGCCAACATCATTCTAAATGGAAGTCATTAGTTCAGATTATGTCCATTTTATAAAAGTCATCCCTACAGCCAATGCAGTAGGATTCATCTGAGGACATGGCTGTGTTTCATAGCTAGCACCGCTACCCATAAAGTATGATGCTCACTCTCCTCAGTGAGAGGCAGTGCTTACAGCTGTAAGGTTTTGTAACCGTACTGACAGCTTATGGTGAATATCAGTTGGTAAAAGTTTGGACTTTGAGGAGGCTATTGACAAAGGAAGTGAGGAAAACGTTGTAAACTGGGTCAATGGGGCCTCGCTTACAGCTGTAAGGTTTTGTGACAGTACAGATAGCTTATGGTGAATATCAGTTGGTAAAAGTTTGGACTTTGAGGAGCTATTGACAAAGGAAGTGAGGAAAACGTTGTAAACTGGGTCAATGGGGCCTCTCTTCCTGCAGCACTGTGAAGATTCAAAGTGTTCCCAATGGAGTGAGCGATCTGGCTGAGGTAAAAGTGCTGTCTGTGTACAGTCAAATGTGACAAGAGAGCCTAAGGGAGGAGACACACAGGAGTCTCTGATCCCAAAGACTCTCAGCCTCTCCAGGAAAGTGGCAAGTGATGCCAAAATGAGAAACGGTTTCAGAGCAGAGATCAAATCTGTGGCCTTTTCAGGAGTGTGGTCTAAAGATAAATCTGAGGGAATGGCATTGAAATTGTTACATCATGGAAAGAATAAGTGGTTCCCAGAGAACTGTCATTCTGAAAAAAAATGGTGCTTTATGGAGAAGGCCTAAGTGAAAGTTAAAATTTTTAGTTCTTATTTTTTCTTTTTTACTATTTTTTAATATTTTATTTATTATTTTTATTTTATGTGTAGGAATGTATTGCTTGCATGTATGTAAGCGAACCTACATTGTTCACTGCCTGCAGAGGTCAGAAGAGAGCATCAGATCCCCTAGAACTTCAGTTACCGATGGTTGTTAGTCACCATGTGGGTGCTGGGACCCAAACCCGAGTCCTCTGCAAGAGCAACCAGAGCTCTTAACCACTGAGCCCCTGGTTTCCTTTTTTAAAGAAGTAATGTTTAAGCATTGCATGGCATGGTGGCACTTACATACATACAGGTAAAACACTCATACACATAAAATTAATTAATAAAAAAGAAATACAATTAAATTATATTTTTATTAGGAACTTTAAACAGTAGTTAAAAATGGGAACTTACAACCAATGAAAGCATGTGAATAAGCTAAGTCTACGGCAGCTGTGGCACTGACCCCCAAGAATCCACATGGCTAACTTCACAGCAGAGGATGGTTTGAAATCACTGAAGTAAACCTGCTGTTTTCTGATTCTCAGATCTCTTGTGGGAATTAGCTGAGCTAACTCATATAAAATAATTAAAATCTGTAAATCATCAAGTAAATACAATGTGTCATTATGTCATTGAGAATGCCTGGGAATTCATCCAGTGTCCCAGCCTAGTGTCAACCAAGAATCACTGTGTGTCTATTTAAAACACATTGTATGGTGGAGTGGCACACACCTTTAATCCCAGCACTCAGGAGGCTGAGGCAGAGGCAGGCTGTGAGATTGAGGCCAGCTTAGCCTACATAACAAGTTCCAGGTCAGCTGGAGCTACAGGGAGACCCTGTCAAAAAAAAAAAAAAGAAAGAAAGAAAGAAAGAAAGAAAGAAAGAAAGAAAGAAAGAAAGAAAGAAAGAAAGAAAGAAAGAAAGAAAAGAAAGAAAGAAAGAAGGACACTGATGTCATTAAAGAAGTTAAAGAAGGTATAATTTTGTTAAGAAGTCATGAACACAGATTTCACTGCTCATTTATCATGGACTAGAACTTCAAAGTCAGGTTTTTTCAGCTTAAGTAACTGTGGCAAATGTCTCCTTTTCCCTAGGAACAGTTGACACTCCATCTCTGCAGGAAAGAATACAAGCCAGAGGCGATCTCGAAGAGGTGTGTCTACACTTTGAATCTGTTCAAGTCTGTTTGCTAAAAAATGCTCTTCTCCTTATTTAGAGTAGGAAGAGAGTAGGCACAAAGGTGGGTCGAGGACCTGAGGGGCAGGGAAACCTAGACACAGACTTTCACTTTTGCAAAATGAAAAGCATGTAGAGATGGAGCATGGTGACAGTGACACTTGTGTGAACATACTTAAAACCCCCAAACTGTGCACTTAGAATGACTGTATGTAAATTGTGTTACATGTGTTAACACTTTTTTAAAATGAATTTTTGTGAATGTCATACAATATATCTTGATCATATTTAGACTCTCTCTACTATCTGTAGCCCCTCCATAGGAGTTCATGCATTCTGTAATATATGTTAAGGTTTGTCAAGCCATACTTGTGTCCTCAGATGTCCCTTGGTGTGAGTCTATTCACTGGAGCCTGGTCAACCTATCTAGAAAACTAACTCTTCTTTTAGCCATCGGTTGCCAATAGTTCCCCAGCTAAGGTTGGGGCTTCTTCCCCACTTCCCCTCTTCTATGTTGGGTTTTTGTCTGGTTTGAGCTTTCGTGGGTCTTCTGTATGCTGTCACCATTGCAGTAAGTTCATATGAGCAACTTCCAAGCTGCCTGGAAAGCTCTGTTTCCTTGTGGTCATCCACCTCCCTTGACTCTCACAGTCTTTCATCCCCCTTTTTCACAATGGTCTCTGAGCCTTGGGTAGCAGATATAGGGTAGTGATATAGGTGTCCCACCCAGGAACAAGCAATCTGCAGTCTCTTATTCTCCACACTTTGGCCAGTTGTGGCTTTCTGGGCCAGTTACCATCTGTTGCATGGAGAAGCTTCACTGGTGAGAATTGAGGAATGTATTAATATTCTTTCTGCCTCCTGTTCTGTGATGTTCCCAGAGCCACAAGTGTAGAGGTTGCATTGTAGATGCTCCATTTATGGATGAGCATTTCACAGACACTTATTCTCTGTGTTTGGCCAGTTATAGAACTCTGTAATGGCCTCCGTCTGCTGCAAAAGATTTTTCAATGAGTGGACAGGGGTACATTTGTCTGTAAATATAAGGATATATATTTATAGCACAGTAAAAAATTACATTGGTTTAGGGATGCAGCAAAAGTAAATTTTTCTCTGGGATCCATGACCTCTCCAGCTATGTGTATTTGGCTGTGTTTACAGTACCACACATGAGTTCCCTCCTATTAAGCAGGAGTTACATCCAAATTAAACAGCTATTGATTACCCCCAAGATAAGAGCGCCACTATTGCACCGGTAGAGATGGTCATTGTTGTTTACTAGGCTTTATAGCTGGGTAGGAACATTGATTGGTTTTCTCCCTTGCAAGTTTGCATAGTATCCTATGATATTATGAGAGCTAGTCTTCATCAAGGAGCCTTCTATGTTAGTTCCAGTTCAATTGCTTTAAGTACTGTATCAGAAATATGTCCTGTCTTCATCAATAGGATCTTCCCTTCAAGTTCTGGGAGGCAATCAAGAGCTGTGGCAATAGCCTGTGTTATTTGGGAGTCTCTTGGACTACACTGACCAACAACTCAAATAGAGGTCTCTCCTGACTGGTACTATTTTTTGTTATATAGCTTCCAGCTATACACATCCCTACACACACACACACACACACACATGCACACACACACACACACGTGTGTGTGTGTGTATATATGTGTGTGTGTTTTTCAGTAGGCTCTCTTATGTATAATATCATATTAAATGAAATAGGAATAATTTGACTCTTCCAATTAGCATCCCTTTAATTTCCTTCTCTTATCTTAGCAATAGCCTGTGTTATTTGGGAGTATCTTGGACTACCCTGACCAACAACTCAAAGAGAGGTCTCTCCTGACTGGTACTATTTTTTGTTATATAGCTTCCAGCTATACACATCCCTACACACACACACACACACACACACACATGCACACACACACACACACACACACACGTGTGTGTGTGTATATATGTGTGTGTGATTTTCAGTAGGCTCTGTTATGTATAATATCATATTAAATGAAATACGAATAATTTGACTCTTCCAATTAGCATCCCTTTAATTTCCTTCTCTTATCTTATTGCTGTAGCTGTGGTTTCAAGCACTATATTGAAAAGGAGTAGGGTTAGTGAACAACCTTGTGTGGCTCCTGATCTTAATGGGAATGCTTCCAATTTTTCTCCATTTTGAATGATGCTGACTGTGGGTTTGTTGTATATAGCCTTAGGTATATTCCCTCCAGTTGAAGTATGTTCCCTCCAGTTCAGTCCCCTCTAGGACTTTTATCATGAATCCATGCTGGAATTTGTCAAAGGTCTTTTCTGCTTCTATTGAGATGATCATGTGTTTTTTGTCTTTAAGTCCATTTATATGATTTATTATGTTTATTTACTTACGCATATTGAACCTGCATCTCTGGAATAAAGCCAACTTGATCATGATGGATAATCAAAAGATTATCACACATGTGTGTTTGTATGTGATTTGTGAGTATTTTGTTGAGAATTTTTGTATCTATGTTCATTAGGGATATGGGCCTATAGTTTATTTATTTATTTATTTATTTATTTATTTATTATTTATTTATTTTGGTATGTCTTTACCTGGCTTGGGTTTGGAGTAATACTGTCTTCATAGAAGGAGTTTGAGAGTTCTCTACTTCTGTTTTTTTTTGAATAATTTAAGTAGTATTGGCTATGGATCTTCTTTGAAAGTCTGGCAGAATTCTGCTCTGAATCCATCTGGGCCCTTTTTTTAGTCAGGAAGCTTTGTATTACTGTTTCAATTTCCTTAATTCTTACAGATTTGTTTAAGTAGTTGATCTCGGTTTAACTTTGGTGGTTCCATTGAATTTAGAAATTCATCCATTTCCATTACTTTTTCCAATATAATAGAGTATAGATTTTTAAAAGTATTCCCTTATAATGTTCTGGATCTTTTTAGTATCTGTTGTGATGTTTCCCCTTTCATCTCTGATTTTATTAATTTAGGTTTGCTCTTTCTTTTGATTAGCTGGGCTAAGGGTCTGTCTATCTTGTTTATCTTTTCAATGAATCAGCTCTTAGATTCTTTGATTCTTTAAATTGTTTTCTTCATTTTGATTTCAGTGGTTTCTGTTTTGATTTTTGTTATTTCTTCTTGTCTACTGGGTTTTGGTTTGATTTGTTCTTGCTTTTCCAGATTCTTGAGGTATATTGTTAAGTCATTTATTTGTGCTCTTTCTGACTTTTTAATGTAGGCACTTAAGGTTATAAGCTTCCCTCTTAATAATGCTTTTAATGTGTCCTAGAGGTTTTGTTGTATTGTGTTATCATTTTCATTTAGCTCCAAAAATACTTTTATTTCTTTCCTGATTCCTTCTTTGACCCATTCATTATTCTGATGTGTGTTGCTTAATCTGCATGAGTTTGTGCGGTTACTAGAGCTTCTTTGATGTTAATCTTTAAACTTTATTTCATTGTGGTCCAATAAATAGATTACTTGGAATTATTTCAATTTTTGTAGTTGTTAAGGTTTGTTTTGTGCCCCAGTATTTTAAAGAAACTTTCATGGTCTCTTGAGTAGAGTGTGTATTGTTTAGTGCTTGGATGGAATATTCTGTAGATGTCTATTAGGTCCATTTGATATCATTTAATTCAGCTGTTTTTCTGTTTATTCTTTGCCCAGTTCACCTGTCTATTGGAGAGAGTGGGGTATTGAAGTCCTCTAGTATTAATGAGTTGGTGTTAATCTGTATCTTGAAGTCCAGTAGTATTGTTTTTATGAAATTGGGTGCACCAAAGTTTGGCGCATATATTTTCATGATTGTAATGTCTTCTTGGTCAATTGTTCCTTTGATAAGAATGAAGTGACTTTCTTTATCTCTTTTGATTAATTTTAATTTGAAGTCTATTTTGTCAGATATTAGAATAGGGACACCTGCTTTTTTCTTAGTGTCATTTGTTTGGAGTATTTTTCTCTAAACTTTTACTTTAAGATGGTGCCTATCCTTGAAGGTAAGATTAGGTTCCTGTAGGAAACAAGAAGACAGATTTTGTTTCTTTTTTAAAGTATTTTATTATTTTTACTTTTTTATGTATATGAGTACATTGCCTGCATTGTACATAAGTGCACTTGTGTTGTGCAATGCCTGCAGAGGTCAGAAGAGGGTGTCGGATCCCCTGGAGCTGGAGTTATGGATGGTTGTTAGCAGCCATGTAGGTGCTAGGCATTGAACCTAGGTCTTCTGTGAGAGCAGCCAGTGCTTTTAACCTCTGAGCCATCTCTCCAGCCCCAGATTTTGTTTCTTACTCCATTCAACTAGTCTGTGTGTCTTTCTTGGGGAGTTGAGGCCATTGATATTTAAAGTTATTATTAAAAGATGTGTATTGGTTACTGTTATTTTATATTCTGTTTGTGTTCTTAGTTCTGTTTTCATAATTATACCTTCATTTATTTTGTTTCTGTAGCCTCTTGGGTATGGTCATTCCTTTCTTCAGACCTTTGTATATCTTCAAATATTCTCTGTAGGACTGGTTTGGCAGACATGAATTCTTTTGGCCTATTTGTATCATGGGAGATTTTTCTTTCCCCTTCAACTATGATAGATAGTTTTGCTGGATAAAGTATTATGGGTTGACATCTATGATCATCTAGAATGTAGATTACTTTGTTCCAGGATCCTCTGGCTTTCAGAGTTTGTGTTGAAAAGTCAGCTGTAATTCTCATGGATTTTCCTTTATGTGTGACTTGTTTCTCTCATACAGCTTTCAGTACCTTCTCTTTGTTTTGTACATTTAATGTTTTTACTGTGACACATTGTGGGGAGTTTCTGTTCTGCTCCTGTCTATTTTGGTGTTCTGTGTGCTTCTTCTACCTTTATGAGTGTGACTTTCCTTAATTTAGGGAAGTTTTCATCTATAATCCTGTTGAAGATCTGGTCAGTGTCATTGACCTGAAATTCTTCTCCTTCTTGTATGCCTATGATGCATAAATTTGTTCTTTTCATTATATCCCATTTACTGCATATTCCATTCCTGTGGTTTCTCTCAAATTTTTTACATTCCTTGTGTAGGCAGTCCAGTTCTTCAGCTTTATCATTCAATCTTGATTTTCTGTTTTCCATTTGATTCATTCTGCCAGTGAATCTTTTTCTGTCATTTCAGATTGATTTATTGAGTTTTTCAATTCCATCTTCATTTCAGCCTTAGTTTTCTTCACTATTTCTATCTCTTTCATGAATTTACTTTTCAAATCTTGAATTGTCTTTTGTCATTTTATTCATCTGTCTTTGTGCTATTCCTATCCTCTTTGAGCTCCTTGAGTTGTTTGTGTATTCTTTAAAGTCATTGGATTCTTTGATCATGTGTGATAATTCTTTTAAATTCTGTGTCCTTAGTTTTCTCTGTATAGTTCTCATTGTAGAACACATCTATAGAACTGGTGAGATTTGGTGGGGACACATTATCCTGGCTGTTCATATTATTTGTGTTTTCACATTATGACCTGAGCACAGTCACAGGTTGTATCTGTTGGTTATGTATCTGATATGAAATTCTAGCCTGCCATTGTTGAGTTGAAGCTTGGTTCTGTTTTTATTGTTGGTGTAGCTTGGTTTGCTTCTGATCAGGTATGACTAGCTAATTGGTCTCTGCATCAGGCTCTCACTTTTGATTTTTTTTTTTTATTTGGAGGGACCAGATGATTCCAGGCTGTTGAGTGGTGAGGTCTCCGGTGAAGTGAATAGGCCTAGACCCAGGGAGGGCTGATGGAGGAAGGACAGGTCAATTCTGACTAGCTAAACAGAGATGTGAGCTCTGGAGTAGTGTAGTGATGCTGGTCCCAAAGCAGGGGTGATGGTGGCCCAGTGCAGGGGCCGGGGGGACGTCCAGGTAACTCATCCTGCTAGTATGAGTTAGAGGCAGTTGTGAGCAAGTGCTCCTAACTGCTGAGCCACCTCTCTAGACTGATACTTTTTGGGTTTTTAAGATAGGTCTTACATAGCACAGACTGACTGTGAACTTGTAATCCTCCTGCCTCAAGGCCTCCACAGTCCCAATGTTGCAATTGTTGTTTTAGAGAGCCCTCTGCATTCCTGTCAGCTTTCTTATCCATCAGTGTCTATGGGTTTTAGTGCATTCTGACTTGCTTAGGTGACTGGTGAAAAAGTCACAGTAATCTCAGCTGATGAGCCTGGTCTCTCTGGAGATCCCTCTAGCTTTCAGAGCCTTGAGGAAGTTACAGGGGAATGCATGTGTCAGCCCACATTTCTAATGTCTGGCATGGTCTCTGGTCACAGGCACTGAATTATTTCCTAAGGAGACAGAAGACGGGAAGATTTGCAACTGCAGAAGAAGTAGCTCTGCTCTGCGTGTACTTGGCCTCTGACGAAGTAAGCTCTGTTCTTTAAAACTCACTATTCTCCATCACACTGAGCTACTATTTGCTTATTAACATCATATCCTCTTTGAGAGTCTATGGCATTTATTGCTAACGTGCTTTGTTTAATTTACTTAAAGAAAAGCCACTTGGATCTGAGACATGACTTCCTCATTCAACTCTGTGTGACTCAACATCATATAGCAAATGACATAAAGGATGGAAAAAAATTGAAGTCCCCTGTTGTCTGATATATTTACTCTAAATAAAAAAATTACAATTGTGCTGGGTGTGGTGGTGCATGCCTTTAATCCCAGGACTCGGGAGGCAGAGGCAGGTGAATCTCTGTGAGTTCAAGGCCAGCCTGGTCTACATAGTGAGTTCCAGACAGCTGGGGCTACAAAGAGACCCTGTCTCAAAAAGACCAAAAAAAAAAGAGCCAGTAACAAATCTACTTTCCTTTGTTCTATCAGGACAATGACTTCTTAATATGATGTATTTTAATTGCTACTTCTTTTCTTCTTTTATGTGTGTGTACATATATACAAACATATCTACATATGCCTATAAGCACGTAAGAGTTTCCAGATTGGGAAATAAATAAAAAACTGAATCAATTTTTAAAAATTAAGAAAAAAGAGCTGAATGAACAAAAGAACCTCTCAGGCGAGTAATGGCTCAGTAGGTGAAGGTGCTTGCTGTCAAGCCTGATAACTTAGGTTGAATCACAGGGACCCACATGGTGGAAGGAAAGAATGGACTCCCATAAGTTGCCTTCTGACCTTCACTGGTATTCCATGGCATGTACATAAATAAATAAATAAATAAATAAATAAATAAATAAAATGCAATTTTAAAAAAGAACCTCTCCCTTGTTTAGCCATCCCTACAGTTCCTGCTTGTCCCTTTTCCTTGTGGTACAGACTGGCTGTTCTACTAGTGGCTTACTCAATGTTTAAAAACAAAATCTAGGCTGAATTGGTTCTGGGAAAGTACAGATAAAGAGGGCTAAAGGAACTGTCCATTATTTGTCTTTAATCCCAGAGGTGCTGAAAGCTGTTGGCTCCTTTGGGCTTTACCCTTGAGCTGTTTGAGTGGGTTTAACCCCGAGTTTCTAGATTGGGGAGATTTTTTTTAAGGATTTTTTTTTTTTAAATATGTTTGAGTGCTTTGTGTATGTAAGTGTACCAATGTGAGCAGTGCACAAGGGGGCCAAAAGAGGGTGTTGGATCCCCTGGAACTGGAGGTAAAGATGATTGTTAGCCACCATATGGGTGCTGGGAATCCAACCCCAGTCCTCTGCAAGAGCAGTCAGTGCTTTTAACTGCTGAGACATGTCTCCAGTCCCAGGGGTAGGGAGCCAGGTTTGACTAATGCTGGCGACACAGAGAAAAAAAAAAAAAGGCCACTATTGACATTTCCTGTGCTTTTCAATATTTAATTTCCTCTACAATATTCTTTAATATTCCAAGAAATAATCAAATAAGCTTGAAATAACATGAAGGGACAATAGTCCTTTAGTGAGAGAGGACTGCAGAAGGGAAAAAATAACTGGGGGGATAGAAGGTCTTTGACATAATACTCTAGATGGATGGCCGAAGAAAAAACAACGAGAAGACTAGATTTGAGTCTTTACCATACTTATAGCCAATTTTGAGAGTCCTCTTTTGGAAATATTTCTTAATAACTTTGTGAGTCCAGAAGTTATCCTTATAAAAGAGTGAGCCAATGGACTTTAGGGGACTGCTTAAGTTTTAGAAGTTTAGGTTGATGGTAAGTTCTGGCAACTTTTTGTGTGTAACTCATGTGTGTGTGTTTATATTTAGTGTGGGCAGATATGTGTAGGCTATCAGACAACCTCAGGTGTCATTCCTCAGATACCATCCCTTTTGATTTTTGATACATGGTCTCACATTGGCCTGGAACTTGCCAAGTATGCTAGGTTGACTGGGATTATAAGAGCATAGCACCATGGTCAGATTTTTATTTGGAATTTTGGGATAGACCTCAGGTCTTTATGCTTGCAAGAAAAGCACTTTACCAGCTGCACTATGGTCCTTGGCCATAGGGAATCTGAAGTGTACTATCAGGGTGTTCTAGATCCAAGCATTCTAACAAAAGACTTGGAATGACCAAGGGACTAGACCCTCTTTTAGAAACTCTTGTCCTAGGTTTCAAATCCTTGAAGATGGATATGCCAAATACCCTGATTTGGTCATTACATTACACATTAGAATAACCATTAACTTGGGTGGGGACATAGAGGCTTATATACCCAAAGGAATCCAGTGAGGGTGACTCACAGTACCAGTTTTGGCAGGCATGACCCCATGGCTTGGGGAAGGTCACCATCTAATTCTGATGGAACAGTCTAGGATTTCAGGGAAGGATATATCTTTGGAAAGATTCCTTTTCTCATTTCAACACTTAAGTCATTAAATTTATATAATTCAATTTAATATAGGATCTACTCAGTTTATTAGGAGGACCATGTAATAAATATTATTCACATTAAATGTTTATATGTAATCCAAAAATAAAAATGTGGCCATGATATGAAAGACCTGATCAAAGATTTGTTGTTGACTGACAGTTTAGCTCTGAAATTTGTAGATCGAATGTTTTATTACCTTGTTTTATCATTAAATTATGTGACACAGAGACATACAAAGTAGAGCCAGGGACTGGAGAGGTGGCTCAGTGGTAAAGAGTGCTTGTTTCTGCTCCAGAGGACCTGAGTTCTGTTCCCAACCCCTACATCAGGTGGCTCACAACTGCCTATAACTCTTATCTCCAGGGGACACAACACTGGCTTCTGTAAGCATGTGTACACATAAATAAAAATAAAATGAAATCCATTAGCCAAGGATATCAGTCTTCACCCATCTGAGCCAAGAGCAACTTGTATAAAGCCTTGCATACCACCGAAGAATATTTTTGCCCCTGGATAAAGAATACTATTCAGAAGCCAGGAGTACTTTCTCTATCTATGAGGAGTTGGCTTCAAACCATGGTTGACTTCCTGCTGCCCCTTCCTGAATCTCACTTCTGTTTGTGGAGCATAAGGCATTTTTAATACCTGTACTACATCTTGAGTTTTATTGTGTGTTTTCCCCACAGTGTTAAGGATTGAACCCAGGCCCTCACACATGTTAGGCAAACATTCTACCATGTGAGCTGCATCCCTAGTGCCAAGTTTTGTTGTTTTGGAACCAGGCAGGTTGTACAGGAAGTGCAGCTGCTTTAACTGGCAATAAGTCAGCAAGACATATGGCCCGAAATGAGTGATGAAATAAACTCAAAACACATTCCTGATCACTGTGCAGCAGCCCTCAGATTGAAGCATTCCCTCTTGTTGAGGGTGGGACCTTCATAGGACTCAGGAAGTAAACAAAACTTATAAAGCTCAGGAAGGTCCAGAAACTTGCATGATTCACAAGACCCCGCCCCAAGCTTATGTAGATAGAAACAACTGGTCCAGAAAGGTGACTGCATCAGCTGAGCTGCCTCAAATTGTACAAGAAGCTGCAGGGATATCATTCTTGTGAGTTATCACCCATGCTGGGATGGGCATTTTGGTTATGCAGCTGCCTGTAAATCATCCATACTCCTGTAAGTCACCCTAATAAACTTACTGGTTCACTAAGCTAAAACAAAAGAAAACAAAACAAAAAAGAACCTCTCCTTTCTGAGAGCTTCAGGAGAAACAGTGAGTGGACTGACCAGGCATAATCAGGTTCAGGGGATGCAGAGCTGGCATGTAGCATGTTAGTTTTCCTGTGATCTGTGTTGGAGAGTTCCACTGCTTTTCCCATTGTTTGCATCATGTTTTCTTATTTGTTTCCATCATGTGTAGAAATTCCAGTTCTGTTTCTTCTACTTTATATCTGTTTAGCAACCACTTTCTTTCCCCATGACTAATGTGTATTTTCAACGACTGATACAGCAAAACCTGTTACAAGATGCAGAGCACAAGAACATTCTCTTCTGTTTCATGTCTTCGGATGTTGTATAAATTACATAAACAGAGAACTGTGTGTATGAGAAGAGAAATAAAAGGGAGAAGATGGTTGTAAAGAGGACGTATGTGTTGAGTGACAGACTTTCCCTGAGAGACACAAAACATCTACTTACCCTGGAGAGAGAAGCCACAACAGACCTTAGTAACGATTGCACCAAAGTCCAACTTGGCGAACCAATGAGTTTTATTGGGGCTCTAACAGGATTTGGGTGAGGGGCTACTTACAAGAGCAGGGACAACTCAAAAGCAGCTACACTACTGGAAAGCCAACCCCAGCACAGGTGATGGCTCAACTGCATCCCTAGGGCTCTCTGCATGACTTGCAGGTCACTCAACAAGTCCAAGGATCAGTTCTTGGCTCATCACTGGTTAATCTCTTTCTCTGGCAATTGTTTGATGCTTCTATAAAGCTGGGGAGGAGCCTTTGAGAATCTCCAAGTTTTAGCTTTCCCAGACTTCTGAAGTTTGTTAGTTCCTGAGTCTCATGATACTCTGATGCCCCTTGTGGAGAGAATATTTCAATTCTTTGAGGGAAATGGCTGCACAACAGTATGTTACTTATCTGTTAGCTTCTCTTTATAGTGACTTGATTCATTTCAGACATTTGCTGATTGTGACAGAGACAAAGATTGAAAAGGTTTAGTTTCTCCTCCTCCTCTTCCTCCTCCTCCTTCCTTGAATGGTTTGATCTCTTGCTTCCTACCCCCCAGCTCCAACTCCTCTTCTTTTTGAGACAAGGTCTCCCTGTATTTCTCTGTAGTCCCTCCCAACTGGCCTGGAACTCATGTGTAGAGCAGGCTGGCCTCCATCTCACAGAGGTCTGCCTCCCTCTGCCTCCTGAGTGCTGAGATTAAAGGTGTGCACCACTGGTTACCACCTCATTATCCATTTTAAGCTAAAAGATTATGCATTTCTTTTATTCTTTGACAATTTAATGTATGTAACATATGTTGGCCATAATCACCCCTACTACCCTCTCTTGTCCCCCTCAAACTCTAAGTCCCTTCTTCTCAACATGTTCCCTTCCTAATTTCATGTCTTTTTTGTAATGATTCACAGAGTACAATTAGGGTTGCTTCCATGAGCTTGGGTATGAGATTACTTACTGGGGCAAAGACTACCAGTGGCTACACCGCTGAAGAAAAATGATCCCTCCTTCCCTAGCAGCCATTCACTGCCAACAGCCCTTTCAGTAGAGGTGGGGCCTTATGAGCACCCCCTCATCTGTGATGGAATTTTAATGGTCTGTGTATGCAGGTCTTGTGCAGGTAACCACAGCTGCTGTGAGTTCATGAGTGTGATGACCATGCCATGTCCAGAACGCATGATAAAATATCTATTTATTTATTTATTATTTTTATTTTTTGTGTATGAATATGTTGCCTGCATGTAGGTAGGTGCACCCATGTCATGCTGTACCACAGAGGTCAGAAGAGGGTGTTAGATCCCCTGGAACTGGATTTATGGGTGGTTGTTAGCCACCATGTGGGTGCTGGGAATCCAACCTTGGTCCTCTGCAAGAACAACCAGTGCTTTTAACAGCTAAGCCATCTCTCCAAGCTAAAGTATTTTTAAACTTCTTCCACAACTGTCTCCTCAGCTTCAGTTCTTTGAGAAATGAAAAATATAAGCATAAGCCAATAATTTTTTTTTTGGTCTTTTTGAAACAAGCTCTCCCTGTAACCCCAGCTGACCTGGAACTCACTATGTAGACCAGACTGGCCTTGAACTCACAGAGATCCACCTGCCTCTGTCTCCCAAGTGCTGGGATTAAAGGCATGCACCACCATGCCCAGCTACCAATAATCATTTTCTAAAAACTTTCATATTATACAAATTTGGGCATCAGAAACCAGCACAGACGATTGTCATATCTTAATGAATTGCAATAATTATTGCCCATATAAATTTTAAAAACACATTTAGTGCATGTCTGTGAATTGATCAACTAATATACATTATCTGTTTTTGTCCCATTGTTTGGTCATTAAGATGTCCACTTTATGACCGACATACTTATAACTTTCAGGTTGTTAATACATTTTTTAATATAAGTGGTTCTGGGTTTCAAAGTGAGTATGGTGCTTTAGCTTGCACATTAAAACTCCTCTCCTTGATTTTATGATCCTGAGACCAAACGTCCAACAGAGCATATGTAGACTGTGGCTTGCTCATATGCCAGCCAAGGCCATCTGCTCCAGGTTACAGGAGAATTCAGCAGTTCTAAGTCATCCAAACTTTAGTGTGTGTGTGTGTATGTGTGTGTGTGTGTGTGTGTGTGTTTTTCCCCTAAGTTCAGGTAAGTTTTCCTGTCAACATGAGGGTCAACTGTTTTGTTATCCTAGTCACAGGAAAGTTTTGAAATGCACCTACGTCCCGCATTGCTAACTGTTGCGTTTTCTGTGCTTGTCACTGCAGTCAGCCTATGTAACAGGCAACCCTGTCATCATCGATGGAGGCTGGAGCCTGTGACCCCGAGATCTCAGGCCCTTCTCATCCACCATGAAACTGGGTCTCAAGAAAACCCAGTGATCATCGCTCCTATGACTGACATTAATGAAAACAAGCCCTTTAGAGACCATTCTCAAGAGTGTAATTCTTTAAATATCCTGTAGTCTCTCTTCTCTCTTCTGAAATGATAGTAAAGAAATCAAATAAAAAATATTGAGCTTGTTGCAAAAGAATAGTTTTTTAAAATTTTTATTTATTTTTATTTTATGTGTATGCATATATTGGCTGCGTGTAGGTAAGTACACCCATGTCATGCAATGCCCACGGAGGTCAAAAGAGGCTGTTGGAGCCCCTGGGGACTGGAGTTATGGACAGTTGTTAGCTGCCATGTGGGTGCTGGGATTCGAACCCAGGTCTTCTGCAAGAACAACCAGTGTTCTTAACCGCCAAGCCATCTCTCCAGTGCCACAAAAGAATAGTTTTTAAAATAAGCAAAGACTTGTGAGCATCTTACTGATATAACACATTACCGTAGATTGTGGCTGAAGACTAGACATTACTTCTCAATTTGAGGAGGCAAATGCAAGATCAAGAGGCTTTCAGATCTTGCATTTGGTGAGGGTCCTATTCCAGATGTGCAGATGGTCACATTGCTGTGTCCTCACATAAGAAAAGCAGACTGAGGTAAGGCAGGTTACTTTGGGTCTGTGGGTAAGGCACTCATTGCCAACATCACAGGTCCTTCTATTGTTCCCTAATCACTTCTCCAAAGCCCTGCCTCAAACCAGTATCATAAATTTTTAAATGGCACTCAGTTCATGGCCGCATATAAAATTAAAATATAAATACAAAGAAAACGGGTTTTTTAAGTATTTTATTTACTATTTTATATGTATGAGTGCATTGCCTGCATGTATGTAAGTGCACTTATGTCATGCAGTGCTCAAGGAGGTCAGAAGAGGGTATTGGAGTCCCCTGGAACTGGAGGTATAGACAGCTATTAGCTGATATGTGGGTACTGGGAACAAAGCCCTAGTCCTCTGCAATATCAGCCAGTGCTTTTAACCACTGAGCCATCTTTCCAGCTCAGAAAAGGGTTTTTTTATGGAAAAATATTTTTATTTCATTCTAGTTCTCAACACTGTAATATTTTTGTAAGACTGTCATTGTTCTATATGCAGATACTAATTTAAAAATTTTACAGAGTCGTAAATGCACACCAAAGGTAAAAAGGAATTGGCTTTAATAACATAGTAAAGCACTACATTTTTGTTGTATTATGTAAAAGGTTTATACTTAATGGATGTTAAGTGCTGTTTTCTTAGTCTAGACACTGCTCATTAAAATTAGCAATTATATCCAACATGGGAATAAGAAATACATAATTAACTTGCAGCTTGGTCAGTTTGGGATGATTTCTTCAATGTCAATTCAAATTTGCTTTCACAAAATTTCAGGATAACAGACAAGAGAACATGAACTCTGAAAATAGCCTCTTCATAAATTAATATAATCAAATCACTAATACAAAACAAGTGAAACTGAAGAAAGTAAGTTTTTCAAGGTAAAACTTCAGTGAATTTCTGAATGATAATTCTGTAACATTGTTAGAAGTCTTTTCTCCCAGTGTGAGGAGTGTGTGCTTGCTGCATATTACGACCTCAGAAGACCATATGGTATTACTCAGTAAACGAGCAGTCTGCTTTATCCATTTACCCTGGAGCTAAATTAGTCATGATAAATTTGAAGTGGACAATGAAGGGAAAACATTTCATGTACAGAGATGCCCTGCAGTTGATGGAGATGAGTTAAAATCCACAGCAAAGGACATCGAGTATCATGGCTGACAGCTCGATCAGTCATTTGCTCTTGGGTTCTAGTCAGGTATTCGATAAGTGATTGGTGGGTTGGCTTGGATTTTTACCTAGACCAGGGCACTCAGTTTACCCTAAATTTTGGTTTTGTTTGTTTGTTTGCTGAGGCAGCTTCTCACCATGCAGCTCAGACTGACCTTGAAATCACTATTCTCCTGCCCTATCTTTAAAAGTGCTAGGAATATGGGCTGTGCCCCCAACCCCCAGGCCTGGCTAGTTCTCTAGTTCATGAAATTAGGGAGTTGGGCTAAATAACTTGTCTTTCTTTTGGTGAATCATGACCAAAATGCTGTAACTTCTTATCCACTGAATTAATAGAACACTGAAGCTTAGAATAACAAACTACTGTGTGCTGTGAGCAAGTATACATACATATGCTGTGAGCAAATGAATTCAGTTAAACACAGTGAATTTTACAATCTAGATTCCAACAGTAAGAGCTGTTCAGTTACTTGTCTCAGAGCTAAGACATCATAAACATTATAACCAATGAAACCAGAATGAGTCTAGCCAAAAATTTCAATGTTTTCCAGTCATGGAAATTGCCAATCCAATCAGGTGATGTGTCAAATGAATATCATATGACCCAAAGAAAAGGAAAAAATATATATTCAGTCCTTCAATAAGAGGAAACTTGATGGGACTAGAAATGTTGGGAAGCTTTAGAAAATAAGTTCATTTTTAGGAAAATAATCATTTTATGGCCTTCGAGGAGGGCGCTATCTGGTGTAGAAGTTTACCTGAGATAGACCAGCTGTCCTGAGCCACAAGACTGAAGTTGGCACTTGATCAAAGGAGAGAAAACCAGGTAAGGGGTGAGCGCAGACACACACAGAACATACAGACATGTAGTGGGAAGAAAAGAGAAGGCGATGCTCCTTTGAGATGCTATCACCCAGGAACCTGGCTGTGTCTTTCTGCCCCAGGCCTTTCATTCTTTTACCTCTAGTGCTTAAAATCTGTATCAAAATCTCTTAACAAACGCCAGTTCTGCTTTGAAAGAGAAAATGGAAGACACAAAACTGGAAGTGAGAAATAATACAAACGTTGTCGGCAGAAGGGTAACAATGTAAGACCATAACGGCAAAAGGGGCCCAGGTCAGAGAATTGATAAGCGCTCTTCCAAAATTTTCATCCCACCATTTGTCATCTGAAGAAAAAAGATGCCTGCCTTCCCACCGCATGTGAGAAGACACTTAAAGACCCCCACTGGAGGCGGAGTGGAAATAGAATTTAGCGGCAGGTTCAGGCTGTGAACTGTGATCCAGCCTCAGGATGCTGAGGCGGGGCGCACGGCTCCTCTCCCAGGAGACCTGCGGAGGCCGAGCTGAGGGAGGTGGGGGCCCTTCCTGGGTACCGCGCGTCCAATCACCGCAGACCCGAGAGGCGGGCCACTGAGAGGCGGCGGGAAGCTGATCCTGGCGGGTCCAGGGGGTCCCAGAGGGTCCCGGTGGGCCGGGTGAGCTCGCACAGGTCGTGCTGCACCCCGGGAGGGCGCACAGGCGGCGGGGCTCTGATCCGCCCCGGCTCTCTCCGAGAGCGCCCCGCCCGGCCCAGCCAAGCCTCCCGTTATCCACAACCGCAGCCCCGGCCGAGCGCCACCCAGACCCCAGCACCTCCGCAGGCCCGAAGCTCCTTTCTTGGTCACCCAAAGCTGGGTCCCTTGTGTCCAGGACCAATGGTGAGTAGCCTGGAGCAAAGAGCTCCCCCAAGGAAGCCATGCGGCTCTGGGGACCCCGGGAACCTGTATTTCT